TCCAGTGTGGTCATGTTGCAGCTGGTCAAGTTCCTTCCAGTGTGGTCATGTTGTAACTGGTAAAGTTCCTTCCAGTGTGGTCATGTTGTAGCTGGTAAAGTTCCTTCAGTGTGGTCATGTTGTAACTGGTAAAGTTCCTTCCAGTGTGGTCATGTTGCAGCTGGTAAAGTTCCTTCCAGTGTGGTCATATTGTAGCTGGTCAAGTTCCTTCCAATGTGGTCATGTTGCAGCTGGTCAAGTTCCTTCCAGTGTGGTCATGTTGTAACTGGTAAAGTTTCTTCCAATGTGGTCATGTTGTAGCTGGTCAAGTTCCTTTCAGTGTGGTCATGTTGTAACTGGTCAAGTTCCTTCCAGTGTGGTCATGTTGCAGCTGGTCATGTTTCGATACTGAAAACCTTAGGATATCTTACAGTTCTCCATTTTCAGTATTTTCTGATGGTGATAACTTTGTGATATTTTAAAGCGTTCCATATAAAATACGATCTAGTACTGAAACTGGGGTATTCTATAATATTCCGTTTATAGTACGTTTCAGTACAGAATACTTTGAAGTGTTCCGTATACAATAAGTTGCAGCACACAAAACTTTGAGTATTTTAAAGTATTACATATACACGATTCGCTACTAAATATTCTACGTATTTAAAGGAGTACATATATTTAATAACAATTTTAAACACCAGGTGGAGTTTTCGAAAATTTTAACTCTTTATTTACTCGTCAGTTTGAGAGCAAGCGATTAATCCATTTTAAAACGAATAAATCGAAGTGAAGATTAAACTATAAGCCTAAAATATCACAATACAGTGGATCTTTCATTTAATTAAACGTACTGTATCCAACTCTTCAGCTTCAAGATAAAATTAGCACAATAAAAACTTGTCACGTACAAGCACTAAGATAAGAGTATGCTAGATAAATCACTGAGCTTTTTAAGTTGTTGGGACTAGAAACAAATCAAGATAACACGTCACGCCATTGAACTCCTTTTATCGTACACACAGTGGTATATAGTTTCAAGAAAACATTTTTCAAGTTCTTTTCACACCCTTTCAAGTTTAATTTTATTCGACAATGTAAACGTTTGTGAGAAACACGTAGTTATCATATAAATAGATTTTTTTATCTTTAGACACTAATTTAAAAGCGTTTTAACAGATTTTTATCTATAAAATGGTACAGGGCGTGGCCTAGTGATTAACATGCCTGGATTATGAATCCATGGTTCACATGACGTCACACTGTATACAAGTATTTTAGGATTTTGTGAGATGTACACGCAAATTGGATTATTTCCAAGGTGACTGTTACTGAAACTAGGGTTGTAGAGGTATTCCTCACCCTGAGAATATTTAGGGTTGTAGAGGTATTCCTCACCCTGAGAATATTTAGTGTTGTAGAGGTATTCCTCACCCTGAGAATATTTAGGGTTGTAGAGGTATTCCTCACCCTGAGAATATTTAGGGTTGTAGAGGTATTCCATTTAAAACTGTGTATATTAAATAAAGCGGTTTTATATAAAAATACATTTAAGTCAGACAGTCCTCAAGGGCAATCACATTGCAGAGAAAACACGTTGTGTTACGTGTGTAAACTTCGAAATACTGAACAGACTTTAAGAACTTGCTTTATTAAGCATCGCTGTTACGTACGTTAAGAGTGTGACATTTAAACCACATTTATTCAGTGCATGTTTCTTGGTATGTGAAAATGATGTAGATCTTAAATTAATTGTGAACTGTTAACAACCTGGTGGTGGAATGTAAAAATATCCCATTGGAAGTATTTAAGATAAGTATTTAATCCCTACACCTCAATAAATACTGCAATGTCTATAGAGAATAACTTGTTTCCTTCTATATGGAAGGACTAAAGAAATCTTATTTTGCTAGACTCTTGTTAGATGGTATAAAAATAGTCTTAATGTTTAAATAATTTTGAATTTCTTGCCTTATATCAGTTATTGAAAAATTATTGTTAAATGCTGTTGATCTCTTTCTTAAAAAGTTCATATTTACTGTTGAATATTTCTCTAATTACGTTGACATATTATAAGGCATGTATTGGATAACCTTGGTGTACAGATAGATGTACAGTCCTACATACGTAACACAGACTGGTACAGATAGATGTACAGTCCTACATATGTAACACAGACTGGTACAGATAGATGTACAGTCCTACATATGTAACACAGACTGGTACAGATAGATGTACAGTCCTACATATGTAACACAGACTGATACAGGTAGATGTACAGTCCTACATATGTAACACACACTGGTACAGATAGATGTACAGTCCTACATACGTAACACAGACTGGTACAGATAGATGTACAGTCCTACATATGTAACACAGACTGATACAGATAGATGTACAGTCCTACATATGTAACACAGACTGATACAGGTAGATGTACAGTCCTACATATGTAACACAGACAGGTACAGATAGATGTACAGTCCTACATATGTAACACAGACTGGTACAGATAGATGTACAGTCCTACATATGTAACACAGACTGGTACAAATAGATGTACAGTCCTACATATGTAACACAGACTGGTACAGATAGATGTACAGTCCTAAAGATGTAACACAGACTGGTACAGATAGATGTACAGTCCTACATATGTAACACAGACTGGTACAA